CTATCTTAAGCGTGATTTTATAAGTTATTCTCAGTAGTAGCAAATGTTGAACTCAAAAATCCAGAATTCAAATCTCAAAATCCTCAAAAAATCTAGACAAGTTCAGAAAAAATTACGTAAAATTGTGAAAATGCAGGAGTTTTCAAAATCGTGGAAGATCTGGCAACACTGGTTATTCCCCCTCAACATTTTTGGAAACTAGGATTTTATAAGTTACCCCGCAAGTTTTGCTTTCTCGCGACACCCGTGACCCTAGCATTTTGAAGGAGAAAATTTTTACACTCCCTCCAAAGTTGGAATGGTCGGGGCACCCCTGACTGTACTATCTAAAAGCAAACAAATTATATAGAACAATGCTGCGATTGCGTTTCTTGTTCTTTTGTATTTTTATAGAATGTTCATCCACAACATAGCTTATTGGGGAAAACTATTCGCTAATCGACAATAGAAAAGAAAATGAATCTCATTCTAAAACAGCATCTTACAATTTTTGGCGTTATCTATGTTCGAAATTTTTTCCTTCGACGTTTTCAATACATGTCTATTGTATCATAGCTCAAGTTGAATGATAAGAATAGAGTGATACAGGCCATTCAGATGTAATATTGAATAGATTTATATCGAATATAGAAAAAAAGTCAATCGAAAATATTTATTTGATTGAGAAATTGCAACGCTTCATTGATACTTACATTTACTGTCATAACAAGTCTTTCGATGAATAGAATATTTTTCATTTATTCAAAAAAATTGAAAGGTTAAAGTTTTGTAAAAGGCTTAGATAAAGATAGGAACAATTATTTTATGATAATTTGATTGTTTTAGATGAAAAAATATATTCATTATTATTGCTACATGTTGAAATAGAATGTTCTAACATTGTATTAGATCGATCATAAGAAATTTAGTTCAACAGATTAAATTTCATTTTTATCGAATAACTTTACTACTGTAAATCTTTTTAATATTAGGATGATGACTTTTCATTTTTTTCCTCGTTTCCTTAGTGATCAATTGATCAGAAAGTTGAAATTGTCACTGTCGAAAAATGTGTTATGCAAACAGTCACAATTAAAAATCAGCTATTATAATTCACTGTGAGGAAAATATCAATAATGGAAAATAGACTGTAGCAACATATAATTGTGTCAGATTTTCATACATTCACGAAAATATTGATTTAATTAAAACAAAACGTTATTATTAACAGTAAACTTTTTATGTAATCTTCAAATTGTTGTAGCTTTGCCTTAAATTATATTTAATAAATAACATAATGAATTTTCACTAGTGTAAAATAATTGTTTAAATAGAACTATGGCCAACAACTTCTTCTAGTAGTATATGCATCAGAAAATCCTCTCTGGAATTGAGGAAAACAAAGCAACAACTATGCTTAATAGATTGTGAAACACTATGGAAGTTTATAGAAAAAAATGAAGATGGAAAAAAGTTTATCAATAAATATGAATTTTATTTTGCCAGTCTCTACAAAACTTATCATTTCAATCTACGTCTGAATACTCCAACAATAGTTAATGATGTCGCTTTGGATGGTTGATGATCAAAAAGCTTTCTTAGATGAAGCATAACTTGGTCGTCAATATTGATTGTTGACCATTATTTTTAACTTGACAGCTAAACAAGATATATATCAGCAATAGATTTGATTCGAAGGATTAGAAGCGAAGAGTAAATGAAACCTTAAAAATTGATTGAAAGATGCATAATAAATCAAAACTTCTCCCACCAGCAATCACTAAATAAATTTCAGAATGAATTAATGAAAAGTGGAATTCATCCATTGAGTGTCTGCCGCACTCGTCTTTGAAATATGTGTTACTTATTGATCTTATATTTTTTCTCCTTACTTTATTATTTCAATTATTAACGGTAAATATTGACACATATAAGATGGATATACTATGTTTTATTTTAATTTTATTATAACAAAAGAAAATGGTCACAAGCAATAATTCTATTCAAGCATGGCTCATTAAATATTTGAGAATATGTGTGTGCCTATTTCAGCATTATACAATTTCTTTTTTTCTTATTGACTTATCAGTATAATGTTTGCTCGTGCCGGTACCTTCTCATCTCATTCTTCAATTCAACATTTTCATGGCATCAGCTTCAACACGAAAACAGTGCGCATATGATGGTGGCTGTAAACAAGTTGGTGTTGCCTACTGCGAAGGTTGTACCCGATCATTCTGTGGTATACACTTTAATGATCATCGTCGTCTATTGAATGAAGAATTAAATTTTATTTTCAGTGGTTGTAATGAGATCAAGGACGTATTAAATCAAGAAAAAGCAACATGCGACTCTCATCCATTAATGAAACAAATTGATGATTGGGAAAAACAGTCCATTGGAAATATCCAACAACGAGCAAAAGAATTACGGCAGCAAATAATTCTCTTAGCAACGGATCATAGAAATGAATTGTCACAACGACTTCAACAACTATCCGAACAATCGAATGATGCTCTTGAACATGATAGTTTTAGCGAAACAGATCTACGTCAATGGAAGAAGATTATCGAGGATTTAAAAGCAAATCTTACTTCACATGCTACAGTTGGTATTAATCAACATGATTACTTTCCTGGATTGAAAAATATTTCTCTTGTAATGACAATGTCAAAAGAGTTGTTTGATCGAGTATCAGACAATACAATTCAAATTGAACAAAATGGACAAGTAGCAACTTGTGACTCGTCAGTAAATCATAGAGAGATACGTGGTAGAAATAGATACTCTTCAGGAGTTCATAAAATTCGTCTATACATAGAACAAGCAGAACAATTTTGGATGTTTTTGGGAATAACTTCGGAACCCACACCATTACGACATTTATTCTGTAGTGCTCCGTGCACTTACGGTTGGTCCAATGACAACAATATTTGGACAAATGGACAAAAATGTCGTAATAGTTCGAATAATATTATTGAAATGAAAAAGAACGATATCGTAAGTTTAATTCTCGATTGCAACAATCGAACAATGGTGATGATTAATGAACGTACAAATAGAAAATATGAATTATCTGTCAATACTGCCAATTGTCCATTTCCGTGGCAACTTTATCTTAATCTAAATGAAGCGAATAGTTGTGTGCGTATTTTACCTACTTAGTTAAAAACCAGTTGACTAATATTTACCTTAATGTCACGAAAACAAAATGTAATTCTGTACAAATAAAAACTCTTTTTAAATAATATTAGTATTTTTTGCTATAACGACTTTTAATGGAGTAAATATGAATACTACGCTTGATCCAAAAGTCTTTCATCCACGATTTGTATGCAGAATTTTTCGCATTTGGTCTTCCTAAAAACTAAAACAGTTTTTCATTTTCTAATTATTCTTTATGCTTACAGCTATGTACTAATTACTGCTGATTATGAATTCATGTATCATGAATATATTCCCTAGTCTACTCTCCCTAGCAGAATGTTCAGTGAGTTCCTGCGGATTTCGTTATTTCGGGGAGACTTGAGGATGGGGTGTAAAGAGAAAGCTGACTTCTTCACCCACATCCGATTTGATTTTAATAACGCCATCTAGTAATCAAAATCATTCGCAATATTCTTATAGATGAATCATACGCTATGCACTTTTTTCGTTCGTTACCCAAGCGACTTGAAATTACTGCATATTTTATTGCTAAATCTACAAACGTCTTGGCCATTCTTTGTGTCTTTGCATTCTTCACTGCAGCAAGCACATGGCGTCTGACGTAACACGGAAACACTGTGCAAGCAGCGATGCTTGTAAGCAAACGGGCATTGCTGTTTGTGAAGGTTGCTCTCAAGCTTTTTGTACTAAACATTTTATCCATCATCGTCAGTTTTTGGGTGACCAAATTGATGCTGTCATAAGCGAATATGATCAGGTCCAATATGCACTCAACGAACAAAAAACTAACATCGACTCGCATCCATTAATGAAACAAATTAGCGACTGGGAAAAAGAATCAATTGTCAAAATTCAAGAAAAGGCACGAGAACTCCGACAAGAGCTAATCCAGAAGAACACAATTCATCTGGAAAAACTTTCAAAAAAGCTTCAGGATCTATCGGAACAACTAAAGTTAGGCCGAGAACATGATAGCTTTGTTGAAGTTGATATTGGTAATTGGAAAAAATCACTCAACGACTTAAAAGAAAATCTAGCTCTTAATTCAATATTGCGAATCAATCAAGACTGTGGAACTCCACTAGTGCAGAATGTTTCGGTCAATTCAATCGAAAACGACGAAATATTTGATAGAGTATTTGATAATTCAGCACGAATTGAAGAAAATGGATTAGCCGCCATTCATACAAATAATGCAAGTTTCACAGAAGTCCGTGGAAGAAATGAATATTCGACTGGTTGTCATCGAATCCGTTTATCTATCCAACAATCTTTTGATAAATGGCTATTTCTAGGAGTTATAGCTAAGTCAGCACCTCTACAAGAAACACCCTACAGCTGTAAATCAACGTATGGATGGTCTAGTAACAATTTCACTTGGTTAAATGGACAGGCTAATGGAAATCAACTTCCTACTCGTATTGAAATGAAAACAAATGACACCATTACTTTAATCTTTGACTGTGATAATAGGAAAATCTTGATGATTAATGAGCGATCTAATACAATATTCGATTTAGTTGTAGGTCTTAATAATTGCCCATTGCCTTGGCAGCTTCACGTCATTTTGTACGAACCGAATAGTCACGTACGCATTTTACCTACTTTGTCGTGAACTGTGTCGTAACGAATCATTCAAGTTTTAATATATTTCGAATCGCCTATCACTCCATCTAAAATGCTCATGAGACGATGGAATGAAAATTAGTCACGAAAAGTATTGTAGACTGTCTACTTTCACCCTTCACTCACATCACAAGTTCATTGTTGTCGGATATCTATACATTTTCAGATATACAGATTGACTCATAACTCATCGCTCAGTGTACGCTTCTAAATACACAATCAGCAAGAAGAATATGATTTTTCTATATAATCATTTGAGTTTTTCGCATATGTAGCTTCACATCAAACGCGTGTTGGTCTTCTAATTGGCAATTAAAAAGTAGAAAACTTGTTTATGCTTGTCTCAAACAGAGCTCATCAATTTAAGAAATTTATTTTATTATAAATAATTAGATTATAACAGTGTTCAAATGTTGAAAATGATCCTGTGATAAAAATCAAAAATTTGATTAATTTTCATTTGACAGTGGTAAGTCGGTCGTTGTGTTATCGATATATTCACCTGGGTTTTATTTGCGAAATCGATTTAAATATGCAAACATACTTGGCATTTGTTAATGAAATGTGATGAATCAAATAATAAATTTCTTTTTGGATCAACTCTTTCCATTGAATAACAAAGGAAAAAAAGAAGAGTTATTAGTGATATTTATATTAGAATCATAGAAAAAGAAAATTAGCTTAGAAACAAAAATGATTCTCACTTTGTTTTATTTTAATGTAAATAATATATAAGCAGAACGATGACGATTAAA